AATGCCAACCTCGAGTGACATAAATTGTTATGCTAGTCTTGAAGAGTATAAACCACAATAAGCTAATCGGTGATAAAATAAACTACAGAACGTTCGGTTTCAGTTACATGAATAAGAGAAGGTTAGTTTAGAGAATGACATATTATACTGGGCTTACCCAGAATAGTTTTAACTACATTTGGCTAGCTTTAGTAACAAAAAACAAGAACCGGGAAAGTGACAACAAAAGAACAAGGCATGATAAAACGTCGACTTTAATAGCATACGAAGAAACAGCATATTTCCCGTTGAGATCGTGGTGGTATCGGTTGTCCATATTCTTCATCAATCTGCATCTCGATTCAATTGCGACATGGAAATACCTTAGGATGTGGAAACAGACGTAAATCGAAATCGTCACTCTTTTATAGCTCAGTAGTAAGTCGTTCCTGTTGATCTTAAAGTAAGTTAAGATCGAGGAAAACGAATGAAGTAGAAGAGATTATTTATAGTATCATCAATTTCCAAGCTCAGGAGGATATACACGATCGACGCGGTCAATATTTGTTTTTGATATTTAATTATATCACATCTTCGATATACATGTATTTGAAAGTAAATAGAAAAATTGGCAATGCTTTTGTTACCAGTCCTAATAAGCTATTCAACAAAGTCAGCCTCATATGAAGACGAAAACAAGTCGGCCAGAAGCAAGGTAGAGTTGTTTTCCCTATAGGAATGCCTACAGTCCTGCCATCGAACTTAACAAATATATCGTCGTCAATGAACTTAAGTTTTAGGTTCAGACAAATGCTTAGTTTATCAACTAGTAAAGCCAGTAATAACACGTATTTTATAGGGATTCTTGTGAAGTTTTGGAAACCAATACAATATGAGTCGTGTCCATTTCCTTATCGTTAACTGGTTGTCGGAAGATATTGGAAAACAGAAGCACGATTCACTTGTATTCCATCTTTCGAAAAGTGGAAAAATGTATAGGCAATGCTTTCTTGGTTAAAATGAACCTAGCAAACCGGCAGGTAAGGTAATAGTGTTTGCAAACACGAATTAAGATGTTGGATGGTTTAATTTGTCTGCAGACACAACTACAGACTAAACATGCAGATCCAAGTCAAAGCAATCTCATTAAAATCAGATGTTAATAAAAAAAATGCTATTAATGCGGTACGTGATAATGAACAGCTAGACGAGTCGAATTTAGGCCACATCATTAATAATTTTCAGTCTAAAAGCTGGCTTCTGTGCACAGATGAGGTGAAAATGGTGTGGTTCAAACATAGTGAACACACACTTGTTTCTCTATACTATTTACCATGTCTCCAAACGGATCGAGTTTTGTATATTTCTTGAACTTGACAAGTTCCCAGCAGAATCCACGCGTCATTACATCCAAATGGCACCAGAACGCACCAAAGTATCTAAAACAGTCAATACATAAGCCCGAAATTGAAAATAAATGCGAAAGGACAACAACCTGAACAGAGAAGATAACCAAATCCCCATAAACAGTTTACGTAGCACTTGCCATGGTGTCTCCTGTCAAGTCATGGAAGACGGTTTAACCACTGTCATCCAAAGATGCGGTATCCACGTTTAATCTTGATATACACTGAATGAATTACACTCCGTAAACAGGGAAGGCTGGTACGTATACATTGTAGGCATGTTAATACTGAGGACAGGTAAAGTAGCGATCGTGATATTGGAGTCTTTAAATTTATCATAACGTTTGCTTATTGGTAGTCAGATCAAATAATCCATATTTCTATTTTGGTAAAAAAATAAAAATAATATGAAATTGTGTGCAAAATGTTTGCATTCTTTTAGTGATTGAATAATCCATCTTCACGTCCAATTTTACCGCTGTTATTTTCACTTAAAACAATTTGTACACAACCAAGGAATTTGCTAGTTAGTTCACGTAAAACCCTAAGGATGCTTAAATAAAACAATAAAAACGGTGTGAAAATATCGTGTACATGTACCACTTTTATTCAGTATAACCCGGCAAAAATTACTACAACTAGATTTCATCCATTACGACTCAATAAAGTGGTGTTACACAATTCCATCAAAACTCGCCCTATTATTCATTCTACTTAAACAACATCGCTGTATCATTTAATATTGTCCTATACTTACATATAAATATTGAAACCCATAATTTTCGATTCATTTTCGAGATGGTCATAACGAAATTTGCATAAAATGCAACTTTATCCTGCATGTTAACTGATACATGTTAACTGATACAGAGTTGCAATTCACAATCATATAAATGATTTTAAATACAGCATTGATACTATTTTTAAAAATGTAAATGTAGAACGGCTAGGCCGAGTTGTACGTTATTAATACGAATCATTAAGGATATCACTCAAGCATGGGAGGTCAAATGCTCTTCAAATATATCTCTTTCATACACAATGAAAATATACACTCTCTCATAGTGATACCATTGATATTTATTATCATTGCTTTAAATAACTAAGACTGTTTAACTTATGAATAATAAAAAAAATATTTAATTAATTAATTTACATATATCTAGCTAAGACAGATTTTCAATTCTAGCTTCAGTTTCATAAACGTTTCTTATCATACGGAAGTTCCCTGATTAAGACTTTCCAACTGACAGCAATATATAAATGTTAAGGAATTTGAAGTGAAACTGTGGCCAGGTTTCCAATAGCCAAGTACAGTGTATATCTTTAGACAATTATGCAAAAGGACGATATGAAAATAATGTAAGTATGTTTTTTACAATTAAGTTTAACACAAGATAGATGTAAAAAGAATTTTATCAGCAAATATGCATAATAATTATATATCTATATGAGAAATTACATGTTTCATATATTTTTAAATAAGGACTGTTCGACAATGAGTTTCCTTGTCAATATTAACTCATTCACTGCTGAAATTAAAGAATTTATAAAGAAATCAGGAATGTTACTATTACAATTGAAAATAATATCGTTTTGTAGTATATTGATATTTTCGTTTCTCATTATTTCCTATAGTCATAGAGGTGGTAGGAAGATAGCAGTACATGTATATCGTTACGTTTGGAAAAATGAATGTTATTACGGAGTTACTACAGTCTCAGAAATCTTTCAGCTCAAACGAGTGTAATATACAATATTGCAACAAATAAATATAAGCCTTGGAAAAATTTCTTCAAACCAGGCAGGGTCAAATAATACTAAAATAAATCAGCACATCACATGGATAATTAATGACAAATTCGAGACCGAATTTTATGACCAATAATGACATAAACAAAACCACCACACTATTTAATTAAATGGTATTGTAGATGTATACCTTTTTTAACTTCACCTGTTTGACTGAAATATTGCTTGGAAAAATCCCAAACTGCACACATCTGTGTGATTTAAGTCACAGTATAATGAAGCCCAGGATTGATTGTATCTTCATTCAATAAAATATAATATATTATGTATCAATTTACAATCCCGACCAAGTGATTATAGCCCTTATCTGTTACCACGAGGTTTTCACCATTCCAAATGCTATAAAGCATTACATTACAAGTATGTATTAAGTAACAGTCCTGGCCATGTGATTATATTCCTGTTAACTATTATCACGAAGTATTCACCCTACCAAATGCCCTCAAAAGGAATAACTTATTTTCAAGTGATATTTTTAATTTCATCATAAACTAATACATATATTGCTTATAACCAAAAGGAAAATATCACGTTCACTCTTTCAGATATACAACACAATAAACATCTGGTACTTTATACTCAGCAAAATTACCAAACTTTATCCTCATAAATATATAAGTAAAAAATGGAGAATGTTCATATCACAGTAATCAGATAGCTGTAAAAAAGGAAACAAATTAAGATCATTATAAACAACACGATTCCTTATTTGTTGGAAGAAAGAAATATGCATCACTTTTTTTTAAATACGAAATCATACAGTAACAGATAATTTCTTTTCACAAACATCTCTCTCTGCTCAAACCAAATTTCACTTTCTGACTAAAGCACCATTTACATTAGCTACATGTACAACTATTACAAAACGTATGCTAAATTAATATAAATCTGACCTTAAATCACTAGGGGAATGAACACATGAAAAATAGTAATGCCACTCTATTCAGATTTCAGCAACACGGTTATAAGCTTAAACCTGAAAACAGGAAAGTAGCAAAAAAGCAATAGCACTAGATCTAGACTAGGTGACACAACTGTACTCACATTTGCACCATATCAGTGAGTACTTGCACCATTCATAACCAGAGATTCCTTAACACACAGGTTTCCAATTACTAACAAGTCTAGAGGCTAGATTTTTTTTATTTCTCTTGTGAGACACAATGAAAGTGGATCTATCCAACCTACATTATATATGATTTCCTTATGATAATGTGGTATAACAAGACATTTTGTTATCCAGCATACTCTAGTAGGCAACCTCGGAGCAGGAAGAACAGGCTCAATGTGTAGACTGAATTGGATTTGTCTTGATTTATATACATTGTTTCATTATATCACACACCTTACATATATCATTGTTCTCTGGTAAGCAGTGTGTATGCATGTTTTAATTTAGACAACATGAAATATATCAGCTGTACATGATATCATACTTAATTAACACACAGGTTTCCAATTACTTACAAGTCTTAGAGGCTAGTATTGAAATAGATACACAAACATAGTATGTATCTATTTCACTTTTCATATAACAGGATAAAAAATGCACAGCAAGACTGGGATTTGAACCTGGGACCCTCTGAACTCTATAAGGATGCTCTGCATGTACCAGTTCAGCTATCTGATCGTCACACTGGTGATTAGAAAAGGAGTAAAATACTCAGAACTGAGCAAAATAAAATGTTTAGGGGTAAAATAAAACGTCTAGGAGTAAAATAACCTGGAAAGGAGTAAAATTTTACCCCATACGTTTTATTTTACCTCTATCCGGGTTATTTTACCCCCTTGACAAGNGTGATTGGCCCAGTCAAGCTCCACTATATATACATTCCTCCCTCCTTTATCTAAGTCTTTGCCTCCCGAAACACTGTTTACAACCCAGTTTCGAGTATCTCCTTATCAAGCATTTACCGAGTTCTTGAAACAATTAAGATTTAGTCACAGGCACCACTGTAACAGGAAAGGAAATATGCACGGCCAGACTGGGAATTGAACCTGAAACCCTCCAAACTCTAGACTGACACTCTACCAATTGAGCTAGCAGTGTTTGCCAGCAATTGACCCTGTCCAGTTCAGCTTCATATATCAAAAAGGAGTGTTTTCACTTCATTTGCATCTATACATGTGTATCTAGTCTGACTAACAACCAAACACGTGCATGAATTATATTTGCTGGAATCCCATGAGTGCATCAATCAATCTTGGAATCTAAAAATAAAGACCATTTATTGTGTCAATCAATTAAGAGGCATAACAATCCAGATATTTAAATGGGAAGGATTGTGGAAGTGATTGATTTTTCTATCATTGCTATAGTACTGAAGAAAAATCAATAACACTAGATTTAGGCTTGTACAAACTTGCTGATTGAGGTAACTCTTAATAATCGCTTATATCCTTACATAACTGGTGTACGTGGCTTTGTGGGAAAATACACTCCAAATATTTCACAAATAAAGATCTAGCATGAAAATATATACTTGGCAGAGGTAGTATACATTAAAGCTTGGAATTCATTGATCCCTGGAAAAGGTCTCTCATCTCCAGCAGTGTCTTCCTCAGCATGTTGATGTAGTTCTTCGAGCTTGTTTCAGGAGTTATGTTGAAAGCTGACACTCCGAAGTGTACCTAACAAATATACAAGGATATTATACAACAAACATGATCTAACTAGATTTCAGTTGTTTTACATTACAGTACACTTGGGTTTTATCATCCATGAAGCGTAAAAAGTGGTAGAACCTTTTATATTGATAAGATTTCACTATAAGTGAAAGTTAAAAAAAAATGTATATATATTTACTTAATTTATTTTACAACAATTATGAAACAAGTTATTTCAACTTATATTAATTAATCACTCTTGTTGGCCAGGATGTTAGCATGCAGTGTGGGAGGAACCGAGTACCCAGAGAAAACACATGTGGTCAGACAGGTGATCATGACCCCCATACCTTTTCACGTCCAATCGAGGAAAGATATAGAACCAGTTTTTTTTTTGTCTTAAAACTTCATTTTTTATAAACATGCATCAGAATGTAAAGAATTTTAGTCATAAGATGTAGGGACTTAGATAGCAATCTAATCTAATTCCGTGGTAGATGTGAAATAGTGTTCTTTTTCAGAATGTGAAATAAAAAGATTTCACATCTTTATCATACTATGATCGACATCGATATATCATTTGTAATAAACCCCTGTGATATCACCGGCCTCATCAATTTATATCACATATCGTTTTTATTCATTCCAAATTGGATGCAATTTGAAGCCTAACTAGTATATTCTACTGATAAATCCATATACACAACATGACACTACCTGTGAGATGTCTTACCTGTGATTCCTGTGGGTTATAACATACACCGTAGCCGTCAGGGACAACCGGACCAAACACCAATACTGAGTCTGAGTGTGCTGGCACCTTTTGATTCAAAGGAATATTCAGTTAATATCACATCATATCTAAAATCACTATGCTTATATTTTGTTTCAAATAACATCTTTATGAAAACCAAATGTCTGTTTTGATGATGGTCTTACAGATTTGTTTCATATCCATAGTCATAAAGAATGTCATTCAGATCAAGGTCACATCATATTTGATGTCATACATAATTATAACAAATACAAATATTCAAACCGCAAAATATTTTTTCCATAAAAATTAGCTGGGCTAGACCAAGGTTGGAACCCTGGACTTCAGATTGTTTTACTATCAGTCTAACCCACTGAGTTACCTATACAATGGAAGTGTCCAGGTCCAGCTGTGCTAGTTATATCCAAATGGAAGGTTACTATATATATAGGAACAAGCCAATCAGATTGATATGTCTCACCTGTGCCCTGCTTAAACCATCAATGCACATATCAGAGAAACTAACTTAAACACAAAATCTTAATGTTGATGAAGATGCTGACAAAGTCAATGGACCATGAAAGGTAATTAGCTGCATCCAGCATTTGATGCATGTGTTGAGATGTAATACCTAAGATGCATCTATAGTCCAAATTTGGTTGGTTTAGCACTTATACTTTCAGTGAAACTAAGTTAAACGCAAAAACGTAATGTTAACGCCACCGCTATCGCCGTAAAAACAACACCTTAGTCTCGCTTCCACTACTTCGTTGCAGCGAGACAAAAACAGCATTGCAATGGGACAGGGATCCTCAAGTTGTCTCCCTTCTCATGTGACCATTCCAATTTGTGAAATTAATGTTTTATTTAAAGCAAACACCTCTCCTCTATGGGTAAGATTTACTCAACTTTATAAACGACATATATTCAGACAGAAGCACCAAATAACTTAAGATAACGGGTACATATGTGACATCATCGGGTGAAGTATGAGGCAGGAGATCCTGTAACTTATATTAAGGATACCTGTCCCATGACACTGTGGTTTTTGGTATATACAGTATAACCTCCCAATAACTTTTGTTTGGATTGATATAAATGTTGATCTGTTTTACACCCAGAATACAGTTGGATATTACATTTTGTCTATTTCATCTTAATATTTCTCATTAAAGTCCCATAGGGAATGGTTTTTGTTTCAGAAATAATTTATCAAAGCTACAGTCATGCTGGAAATACATAGTAATAGTTTTTGACAGTGGTGCGGAGACCCTTAAGGGCAAATAAGTGTGCTTTTTATTCATAAATAGAACAAAAATTTGGAAACATCTTTATTTGACAAATATAAGGAAGAGGTCATAAGTCGACCATGAACTCTGTATGAGATAAAAATGGGATTCTAGTTTTCAGAGTAAGAGATATAATTAAGGTTAGTACACTGTACCTGGCTAGTTGACATCCTGAAGTGTGTACTGAGGGTGTAAGCCATATCCATATGGAGGTCTGGGACATTCATACCATTCTTTATTGCTGCCAGTTTTAGTCCCATGAGGTGACGATCAATACCCATTCCTTGTATGACCTGCAACACCCAAACTCTAAATACATTACATGTAAATATGCTTGTTTATGCTTTATGAATACAAAACAGCTCAAAACTCTTACAGATTAAAAATGTTTCTCCAAAAACCACTTTAGGTTTCCTCAGTCATAACTCAATTGATAAACCAGCTAGGAGTTGGTAACCATTTTTTGTTACCTTCTAATGTGTAACACCCTGGCCATTCTTTCATTGGTCGATCCTCTAAAAACCACATCAAGTAACATTGCTTTGTGACGTCATTTTCCGCTGTGACGTCATAGTTCATGGGAATATTCCCCGATTGGAAACAGGAATAATGTATTATTCCCAAGAGAAACATATACTCTGCTAGATGTTTATATACATTGTACCTAAATGTTGCGGGAGAGAAAGGTTCCCAAACTTGTGATGACTGATTATCATGTGTATCTATAATTTTTAACTCTTGTTAGTCAATTTTCAAATTGTAAAACTAAAAAGATACTCAGTAAACCTCGCATCATTATGAAATCTGAAAATTAACCAACCATCACCTATATATCTGCACCTATTAACCTATTCATTTACTACTTACAGTAAAACCCCGCTAACTCGACCTCGTAGGGTCCAGATCAATAGTTCGAGGAATACATGGTATTCGATTAAGAAGTTTAATCAAGATGACTGCATTTAATAAGATTTAAAACAGCTAAACAATGAAAACATATAGCCACCGGTATTAAGACAGTAAATAAAATTTAAAAGCTGCATGTGTAGCATACTTTTCATTTTGACATAGTCTGCCATACTGTTATCGGCTACGTTAATTTTACAAAATGTAAAAACGAAAGGAACCCTTCATTCATTTTAAAATGAGGAAAATTTTGAATCCTTGTTTGATAACGAAATTAACAATCACGGCGTATTCAAGTTTGAATATCTTTAAAGTTGGTCAAGAATCCGCTACGTGATTTCCGCTTAATATTGTATGCCAAAATATGGATTTACACACTCAGTGAATTCATATTTCCACCAAATAATTGATGTTAAAACGTTGTCTGGAAAAATAAAAATGCACACAAAATGATAAAGCAGCTACAACAGGGTAACTTTACAGTTGCTTTATGATACTGCCGTTAATCCTCTAATCAAGCACAATGAGCGTGGACCGCAGCCTGTGCCTGAAGACATATTGACGGCAGTGCCGGTGTGATAAACAGGTAAAATATTTGTCAGGCATGACAGGTCACAACTATTAGACGAATAGATACTGATAGGATAAATACTATCACCATGAAGAGTTGGGGACACATTTTTGTTCCAGGAATATAGGTTGAGTGAATCGAGTTTGAGGAAGTGGGGTTTTACTCTACTTGCTCTAGAGTTGTTTTTAATGTTATAAACGAAACTGAAAACTCTGATAGTCAAGATGATGGTCTGATTTTGTGATGCTGTTATTATATACCTCATTGGTGTTGTTTTTGTGTGCCTGGTGTGATACTGGTATTACATACTGTACCTCGCTGGTGTAGTTTTTGTGTGCCTGGTGTGTCGTTGGTGTAGTTTTTGTGTGCCTGGTGTAGTTTTTGTGTGCCTGGTGTGATACTGGTATTTATATATATATACATACCTCATTGGTGTAGTTTTTGTGTGCCTGGTGTGATACTGGTATTACATACCTCGTTGGTGTTGTTTTTGTGTGCATGGTGTGATACTGGTATTACATACTGTACCTCGTTGGTGTAGTTTTTGTGTGCCTGGTTTGTCATTGGTGTTGTTTTTGTGTGCCTGGTGTGATACTGGTATTACATACTGTACCTCGTTGGTGTAGTTTTTGTGTGCCTGGTGTGATACAAATATTACATACCTTGTTGTTGTAGTTTTTGTGTGCCTGGTGTACATGTGATACTGGTATTACATACCTCATTGGTGTTGTTTTTGTGTGCCTGGTGTGGTTTTTGTGTGCCTGGTGTGATACTGGTATTACATACCTCGTTGGTGTAGTTTTTGTGTGCCTGAACCGCTTTCCTCAATAACTCTGCCTTGTGTTCCTTGGACGTATTGGCGTCCACAAAAGCTTTACAAAATTCCAGAGAGGCCTCGGAACATGACCGGATAGTATCTGTCCTCCCCAGGTGGAACATACGCAGGGTACCAGTCTCATAGTGGGGTGCTGGCTCATTGTGTATTCTGAAGTCAAATGAAGCAACCAAGATATAAATGATTTTGATATTCTGAGGCTGTTGAAAGAAACTTTTCTTAACAGCAGTAAAACAATAAATGAGATTTTCATGAATTTGTTTCAGAGATGAACTTTAAAATTTGAATACCATCAGTAGAACCCAGCTATCAATTCATTGAAGATCATAATTCTGAAATTTTCTTATCTTTTTACCCACAGTGTTTTGCTGAAACAATTCCCACTCATCTCATGAAGCCTATTGTTTAGAAACAAGAGGCCGAATGGGCCTGAATAGCTCACCTGGTATAAATCTCACACTTGTAATCTTAAAAGTGGACTAAAATACAGCTACAAGCAGAATATCAGTGTTTGATTCATAAGAACCTATTAAAAGATTTAAACATATGATGCCTGTGACCTTGAATGGCGAACAAGGACATTAGGTTGAACAGAGTTTAAAGTCTTCCAACCCAGCATGCTTTTGGCAAAATATCATTACCTTGGACCTATTGGTTATACAGAACAAGTCATTTAGAGATTTAAACATGTATTGACCACTGTGACCTTGAATATGGGTGGAATGTCATTCATTTTGACAAAATTGGTAGCCCTTCATCCCAGCCTGTAAATGACCAAATATCATCACCCTTGGCCTTTGGCTAATTTAGAAGAAGTTGTATAAAAGTTTTAAACATATTTGACCCCAGTGATCTTGAATATAAGGAAAGATCATTCATTTGAATAAACTTGGTTGCCCTTTATCCCAGCATGCTACTGGCCAAATATCATCATCCTAAGAATTCGGTTATTGAGAAGAAGTTGTTTAAAGGTTTTAAACATATTTGACCCCTGTGACCTTGAATAAAAGTAAAGGTCATTCATTTGAACAAACTAGATAGCCCTTTATCCCAGCATGCTACTGGCCAAATATCATTATCCTTGGCCTCTTTGTTATTCAGAAGAAGTTGTATAAAAGTTTTAAACATATTTGACCCCAGTGATCTTGAATATAAGTAAAGATCATTCATTTGAATAAACTTGGTTGCCCTTTATCACAGCATGCTATTGGCCAAATATCGTAAGTTATTCTTAATTATTCAGAAGAAGTTGTTTAAAGGTTTTAAACATATTTGACCCATGTGACCTTGAATATAAGTCAAGGTCATTCATTCGAACAAACTTGGTAGCCCTTCATCACAGCATGCTACTGGCCAAATAGCATCATCCTAGGCCTTTTGGTTATTGAGAAGTTGTTTAAAGGTTTTTAACATATTTGACCCCTGTGACCTTGAATATAGGTGAAGGTCATTCTTTGAACAAACTTTGTAGCCCTTCATCTCAGCATGCTACTAGCTAAATATCATCACCCTGTGCATTTTGGTTATTCAGAAGAAGTTGTTTAATGTTTTTCACATATTTGAATATAGATGAAGGTCATTCATTTGAACAAACTTTGTAGCCCTTCATCTCAGCATGCTACTGGCCAAATATCATCACCCTGTGCATTTTGGTTATTTAGAAGAAGTTGTTTAATGTTTTTCACATATTTGACCCCTGTGACCTTGAATATAGGTGAAGGTCATTCTTTGAACAAACTTTGTAGCCCTTCATCTCAGCATGCTACTGGCTAAATATCATCACCCTGTGCATTTTGGTTATTCAGAAGAAGTTGTTTAATGTTTTTCACATATTTGACCCCTGTGACCTTGAATATAGGTTAAGGCCATTCTTTGAACAAACTTTGTAGCCCCTCATCTCAGCATGCTACTGGCTAAATATCATTACCCTGTGCATTTTGGTTATTCAGAAGAAGTTGTTTAATGTTTTTCACATATTTGACCCCTGTGACCTTGAATATAGGTTAAGGTCATACATTTGAACAAACTTGATAGCCCTTTACCCCAGCATGCTACTGGCCAAATATCATCACCCTAGGCCTTTTGGTTATTAAGAAGAAGTTGTTTTAAAGTCGTTTAAAATATTGACGCCGGACGGACGGATGACGGATGGACAACGGACACCGCGCCACGGCATAAGCTCACTAGGCACTTCGGGCCAGGTGAGCTAAAAAGGTACAACAAATTGGAAATAATATGCTAGTCAAGATAAATATCTAACCCCTGAAGCTGTTTTCAACTTGAAGCTTTACTGATGGATTCACACCAGATCTATGCGGCATACATAGATCTCCAAGTGATGATATACTTGTCATTAGTTAACTGTAACAAGAATTAAAGCTTTGCTATGACACTAATGGTCTTCATTTGTTGACTTTGACTATATATATATAGACTGAGGGTAGAAAATTGGCGATAATACATTATCTACTTAGGGCAAATAGCTGATCTATGATAATTCATTACAGTGTGGATAAGTTATACTCCAAACAAGATTTTTTTTTTGAAATTCGACCGCATTTGATTCGTCTTCCTTGAGGTGAGAGGCCTGGAAATGGTCCATGGCACAATCCCATAAAGAGGTTAGATACATGTATGCCTATAAATGAAGTTTTATTAATATGTTTTCATCAGTTAAGAGGTTATTCTCCTGACATAAGTTTTCAACAGACTGACAAACAGTTGAGGAATGGAAAAACTAATGGAAAACAAACAGATGTATGAAAAATTAAATAAAGAGTCAGATAGATGACAAGACAGAGCTCACAGAAGCTCATTTACAGAAGCTCATTCAACGCCAGATAGAACTCATAGAAGCTCATTCAACGACAGAGCTCACAGAAGCTCATTCAATGACAGAGCTCACAGAAGCTCATTCGATGACAGAGCTCACAGAAGCTCATTCAACACTGTAAATCAGCTGAGCTAGCATGAAATCTCTGCTGTGATAAAAGATGGTATAAACTATATAGCTATACATGTCATAGAATCAGTTACATGTCACAGAACCAGTTATACTAACCTGTAGTATGCCAGCTGTATAGCATTCTGTAGGAAACTGTCGGGGCTCATCTTTTGTGACTTGGGGAAGTTCTTGCCATAATCGTTGAACACGAACACATTAAGATCAACATCGTCCACCAATCTACAGACCAAACACAATTGTCAAAACAAATCAGATCTATACATAGATAGACATTTACACAAACCTTAGTAGTAAAGAAATGTACTATGTATTGCAAAATAAATTTGGCTGAATAACGTATGTAGATTAACGAAGTACAATCATTTTATAGTAAAGTGTTCGTAATAACTGAGAGACTGTTTTATCATTTACTGTGTGATTAATTTTATACACAGTTTCTTACATGAAAAATTGACTTTAAAAGCATTTTTCTTGGATAAAATACATTGTAAAATATAATGAAAGTATAATGATCAGGAGAGGTAAATGCAACAGTACATACACATCCAACTGGGTCCGGGCTGTGGCTATCATGTCCTTGATGTTCGTACTAAGGTTAAAGGTGAGCTTTGTTGGTGTGGGTGGAGCGGGGGAATCTGATCCAGATGACTTGTTTTTAGAACTGAAATGACAGAAATATTGTACCATTTTAATTACTTCAACACTACAGGCATTCTTTTCCAAGATAGAATATATTACTCTATCACATGACCTGTGTATTTAATTTCTTGGGTTTTCATGGTTGTTGTGAACTGCAACTGTTAGTACAGTAATATAACCATTAAACACATTCAATCATAGCTAGCAGACTGTGAATGTTTAGCTTGTATCCAAATTAAAACCAGAAAATAACTAAACAATTTTTTTATGTGACAGAATTTGCAAAACTGATCTAAAGTATGCAGTACACACAATATTTTGTAAAGAATTTTTGGGACTGGAAGGTATTATAAATCTACAATTTATTCATTTCTGAAAATTAACAAAATTAAACTAGAACTGTAAGCCAAAGGCTAACTAATACCCCACCTGCTATATAAACCAAAACTGTAAGTTAAAGGCTTAACTAAGGCAAAGCATTGCAAAGCAATCCATAGTCTCCCACCAGTAATAAGTATTTCGCAAAAAGGGGCATACCTCCATCAAAAAGGGTTGAAATCCAAAATTAAAATGCTGGTGCACAAATACATAAAATACTGATCATTCATGCAAAGTTTCACTGAAATCCACCTGTTAGATAAGGAGACGTTGCGCGGACAAGTATTTCGCACAAAGGGGCATAACTCCACCAAAAAGGGTCGAAATCCCAAATTAAAATGCCAGTGCACAACTACATAAGATACTGATCATTCATGCAAAGTTTCAATGAAATCCACCAGTTAATTAAGGAGGAGTTTTCCAGACAAGTATTTCGCAAAAAGGGGCATAACTCCACCAAAAAGGTTGAAATCCCAAATCAAAATGCCAGTGCACAAAAACATAAAATACTGATCTTTCATGAAAAGTTTCAATGAAATCCACCTGTTAGATAAGGAGATGTTGAACGGACAAGTATTTTGCACAAAGGGGCATAACTCCACCAAAAAGGGTTGAAATCCCAAATTAAAATGCCGGTGCACAACTACATAAGATACTGATCATTCATGCAAAGTTTCAATGAAATTCACCAGTTGATGAAGGAGGAGTTTTCCGGACAAGTATTTCGCAAAAAGGGGCATAACTCGATCAAAAAGGGTCGAAATCCCAATTAAAATGCTGGTGCACAACTACATAAGATACTGATCATTCATGCAAAGTTTCAATGAAATCCACCAGTTCGTTAAGGAGGAGTTTTCCGGACAAGTTACTGCGGATGACAGACATCCAGACATCCAGACAGGGTGATTCTAGTATACCCCCCCTAACTTCGTTGCGGGGGTATAATAACTATGTGTGCAGTATATATATACACACAAACAAGTTCAATGGTATATTAAATGTATCTGAATATCATTATTTATCATAGATACTAGCTAATTACCACTGATGTTTGCCTGACTGAAGTGAATATGTTACACTGGACTGGTCTACAAGGTTTTGTCAAGGCTCGCCTGAAAGCAGCATCAGATTACTAGATCCGGCCTTATTTCATAAACGAACAACTGTGGTCCAACCGGTCCAACCGTTTGAATCATGATGAACAAATGCGGCCTTGGACTGCTGGTATAGGTATTAGGTAGCTCTTTACCAGCTGCTACTCTTTGTATTTTGATTTGCTACACAAAGTTACTTTCCTATAGAAAGTGCCTATTCCAATCACAAACAAAACAGATTAAAACCACCACACTGTCATTGCATAATCATATAGCCTATCATTATGTATCTGTGTATACTCATTAAGGCACCTGTCACTGAAGCATTACAATCAAACTTACCAGTAAGCAACGACATGGTCGAGCAGCATCACCACTGGGGGTCCTTCTGCTGATGTGTGTTCATATGTCAGTCCACTGATACCGTCCCTCCCAACCACGAACTGGAGGTAGAGAAAGGATACCTGATTATCATTACTTCACATTAGACTGCCTACTAGCCCCTAAGCTTTTATGAAGAATTTCTCAACTGCATTTTACTACACTAGTTAACTCTCCTTAGTTTAGAATCTGACATTCAAGTAAATAACTTAATATCTATATAATATTCTACAGAAGGGGGCCAGTCTAATTAACTACACATGTACATACAAGTGTCTTTTTTTACAATATCTGAATCTTATAATTTCTTTGAGTAGTACACTCATTTACAAATGATCATATACAGTATATGATATATATTTTATCAGTATAGACAGGTCTTAATTAAATGATTTACCTGTATTGTCTTGTCAAACCACCTATTGCCGGAGTTTAGACAATCACCTCCACCATGTAACATTTGTCGTGCGGCCACGCTACGCTCATCACTCATGTCCTGTGGTAGGTTGTTGTCTAAACATACCACACAAATGCTGTGCTTGATCCGGTCTAGACTGGCACTGTTTTCTTTATCTGTGGACAGTTAAATAGATATGTATCATACATGCATCTAAAGGTGTGCTCGTGTAAAGCTAAAGTGCATCCTCGGTACAAGTTCACAAATCTTAAACGATTCACTCTGAAGTTGAAATAAAATCTAAGTGCATAATATAAATACATAAAGTTGTGACAAAAAGCAAAAATTAGATGTTAAAGGATTATTGTTTATATTGAGAGAACATACATACATTTGTATTCATCAAAAGATAATATCGCTTCTCCTTTCATTGTATTGAATTTTATCAGATATTATTTTTTCATATTATTCACGACAAGTTATTGGCCAGGAGTGCATCATGTGTCCACCGATAAAAACCGATATTGACTTGGAGCGCATGATTTTTGTTGAAGGACTGGATGTGTCTAAAAATAGAATTATGATGTGTCTCCGAACAATGCACCGTTCTGCTTTCGAGGCTTTTTTGGTGGGTTTTTTCAGATTGCTTACATTACTGTTTTGAAAATAATAAAACAATTGCACCCTTTAACTTTGGTAGATACCTGGATTTATCGACCCGAGAACAGATATATTGACCTCGGACTGCTACTGCATCACATTACTGTGAAATCAGATACTTTCGTGGGTTTCAACAAAAAAATAAAAAAAATTGTGTGTACATCAGTTCGTTGACTACAAGTAACCATTCATATGAGGAATATCTCCATGCCAAACCTGTTATTACTTCTTGGACCTATGAATTCGTGGATGAAAAGTACAAACGAAATCAAGGAAATTAAAACCCCCACAAAAATGAGTGATTTCACAGTATATAATATCATGGATAAGAAGCATAATGTTGGATTTTGCAGCATCTTCATGGGAACTGATAGTTTGTATATGTAATTTTAGTACTTGTTACCTTTGGCTAGTTCGCTGTAGGCCTTGGCCCAGGTGGACCTGTTTTCTGTGGTGAGGAGTCCCACGGGCGTGGCCACCTGGTCAGATTCCTGTACTAAGCTCTTCAGCTGACGATAGATCTGGGCCTCAGACAGTGGTTTTCCATCAGAACCATAAACATCTAGTGCAAACAACTGCAACAGAGATCAGTTTCCTTTGTAACACTAGCACCCTTGCTACTATATCTTTTTAACCCTCCATGATATTGTTCATCATACAAATCATTTTCTACATTTTACCTTCCAGAACACAGCTCCTCATTCACATCACTTAAATGTTCAATTTCAGGGGTGCAAAATTTCATAATTTTGTTTACTTAACTTATTTGCAGGGTTTTATTTTCGCGAAGTACAACTGGTCTAAGCTCATTTTGGAGAACCTCGTAAATAGTTCTGAGTGCCAATTATAACTAAATTCAATTCTATAGGACTACCGTAGACTCAGTATAAGCCTCAACTCAACTGGCATCACTGACGTGTTAAATGTGGATGTTCTTGCCAAAATCAAACCATTTCATGAGGTACAAAATTTGTGAGTTTTGAAGCAATTACGAAAACAGCAAAATTAAAAACCCTCATGAATATTAGCAACTTTACAGTATTCTACCCTCCAGAATGGACATTGTTACTTATTCAAACTATCAATTTTACCTTTATCATCCTAATAGCCTTTATTTTTTATCCTCAACAATTCTATTATTCACCTACAGTATGCCAGTATGTATTTAACCCATTTTACAGTTTCCAAAGGAGGACTAATGAATACCTAACGTAGTCAAATCACCTATCTTTCAACGAAAAAACATGAACACCATACCGTACTTAACTGGATGTGGAACATGCTTCCAGTATGTTTCAAAGCTTAATGTTACAAACCAAGGGAGTTTTGTACAGTAGCTATGGACTCACCTGGTTGTTGTGAGCCACTATAATGCTCTTTGGGGCGTTTGGTTGGTCGGGAGGGTAGCAGGTCCAACTGTCACACTTTTTGCCAGGTGTACGACACGCAGACAAGATCTTGTAGTACTGGGTCATACACAGGGGCTTCTTACCCATGTGTTCCACTGGCAACGTCTGGCTAGAGATGGAAAAACAGAATTATTTATAAAATTAGATTTTTTAAATACCAGAGGCGACCTATAGCTAGTTACTTTTTTTTAGGCCTCAAAACAAAATCTTGTTTCCGCTACCCCTACCCACCCTAGATTTTCGTGCCTACCATAAAGTTTTTATTGGCATTTATTGATAATGCACTGTTCAAGTCAAAACTCCTGCTCTATATAACCATAGTAAAAATATTTTCCCAAAAAACCCAATTGCCAATCTACCTACCCTGTTTTTTCTGAGGATGATAGTGGAAACACAAGTAATTTATTTTAGCCTTATTAACAAACAGACATATAACATATAACTATAGACAGAGTAAAGTAAACTAATATCTTGTAGGCAATCAAGTTAATGTGAAATCAGATATTTTGTTTGGGCCCAAATATTGTGGTTCTCCCCAAAAAAAGATCATTTTGTGAGTACATGACTTTCCATAATACGAGGACCAACTCATATGTTGTAGTGAGCTGCTTTTTTATTCACCTTATACTGGTCATTTCTTCGTGGACCTCCTGATAGAAGTAGAATGATATATACGTTAATGCTATGTAACAGATCTTGTACAGACCCGGTTAGTCACTGCAGTTAAACTTTCGTTTATTTTTTTTCTAAAAAAACTTACTTGTCTATCATGAGCTTGAAATCCAAGACACCAGCAATTAATTTGGCTGCATATCTGGGAAAAAAAAAAAAAAAAATGAAAACTTGCAGGAAATAACATTCAATTTACACCAACAAATAAATCAAAACAAATGACTATTAAATTACAAGAGATCCCAGAGGGATCTTGGCGTCCACCTTTGTACCATCTTCATTAGTTCTTTGTCAGTTCGATCTTTTCTTTCCTCTAATCTGTTTGATCGAGTCATGTTAACAGTAAATGCACCTTGAGGTAACTTTTGATCTAGACTTAATACTGATGTGTATGAAAGCCAACCTTCAAAGTGAGTTTGTCATCTCACATATTTACTAGTACAGTACTTAATGTGAAAGAAATAGAATCGATCATTGCAGTATGAGAAAGATCTGTTTAGCTCTTCTTTTAATCCATTTTGTTTTTATGATCAGTCTCAAAATAAAACATACACAACGAGGGATCAAGGGGAACCTACATATACAATTTGAGAAAGATCCCTCTGATACTTCTTGAGAAATAGCGATAACAAACTTTCACTATCAAAATCCAAGATGGCTGCCTGTCGGCCATGTTGTTTATCCGATCAGTCTCAAAAGTTGCCCTGCACAGCTAAGGACCAAGAGGAACCTGCATATAAAATTTGAGAAAGATCCCTCTGGTACTTCTTGAGAAATACTGATAACAAGAATTGTTTACGGACGGACGGCGGATGGCGGACCACGGACGCAGGGTGATTTGAATAGCCCACCATCAGATGATGGTGGGCTAAAAAGTCAACACACAGCTAATCTTAGGTCCAATTCAAGTTTATTTTACAGAATGTTACGATTCTTTAACTTCCGCTGTAAACGTCAATGATATCTACTGAATCTGACCTGAGTTGTCCTTCCTTGTCTCTATAGCTCTGGCGCGGGAACACTATTCCTGGACTGACGTTTACTGTAACAGGTGACCGAAACTCAAGGTAGGCAGTCTTCATCCACCACTCCGACAGCTGAAAGTTAACATTGTCAAAATACAATAATGTATTTCAGAATGATAGCATGATACAGTCTTGCTGCATTGCATGCATAATATAATACAGTGGTATTAATTACTGAAAAAAAAATCTTTTTTTCTCCTTTTTTTTTTTTTTACATCTATATCAAACAGACATTACACACATACTCTCACTTGTAGACAACGCTGGTATTAATTATATTATGCAAAATTAAAAAAAAAAAAAAGTTTCACTGTCTATAATGCTATTTACATGTATGAAAATTCTTAATGTCTTAACTTAACCCCCCAAAAAACCAAACATATGCTTTCCTTCTTTTTAAGATAATGAAATTGTCAGGTGTAACTCAGATGGTAAATCATGTGATCTTTTCATTCTACTTATCATATAGTTCCAGAAAGTGGGCTCTAATAGCCGATTGTAAGCTATTATAGTGGGAGCATATCATATGAACCAATTTTTTCTCCTTGTTCAGGAATTTACCATGACAATATACACCAGACTGTAGTTTTTTGTACGTGTATTGAAAAAATACATTGCCTTATGTAAAAGCTTATGAAGCATTCACCAAAATGGCACACTTGTTGGGTTACGTTATCAGTTTCTTCCTATATCATATCATATCATATCATATCATATATCATATCATATCTATCATATCATATCATATCATATCATATATCATATCATATCATATCATATCATATCAAGAATTTAAATAAACATTGCATTTAGCACTAATTTACAACGAAACCAAATGTGTTTAACATTATACTCACCCAATTTTCTTCCTGACTTGCTCTGTGTTCCAAAAGTGTCTGAAGTTTGGGTCCTGGATTTTTACTGAATTCCTGTACTATCTATTGAACATATCAAATGAATGAGCATGTCTGTTAATGTTTTAAAATACTGAAATAACACAGTTTTCATCTAATTTGTTTTTAATTGTTTTAGACATGACATACACCTATTGCACATAATGACTAATCATTATGTTGATTAAATAGGAACTTACTTATTTCAGTATCATTATATATACTACCATTTCATTTCTGCTACATGATACTGTTAACATATTTAAGGATACATACATAAAAGCTTACACGTGTATCTTCACTATAAAAGAGTCTACACAAAAAAAACACCTTCAAATAAGACTTAGAAACGCTGACTTCGAGTTTACGTGTTTAATTTATGACATTTTAAAGGTACAAAAAATACATGCATTATAACACAGGTACATGAAATTCTTAATTTCTATGTAATAAAACATTTATTAGCAGCATGAAATATGATGTATCAAACATACTAAGAGAAGTAACTCTTACAAAAATCAAATGTATAAAAATTATATATAATATGTATGGTTAGTAAATGACCTCAATGTATTAGTAATGATATTATACTACTGTATACCAAGGAGTTTACGCTGAAGTTAAATTTTCACCTTCTCCGCCCTCCGTGATTAGGGTGAATTTATCATTACATCAGATTTAAGTAAGCAACATAATAGAAATTGTAATGAAATGAGCAGGGAGAAAGTTTAGTAACAGTGGATGAAAATTGATTTCATGGTCTTTTTGTGTTGATGCTTAAGCACCAATAATTGAAATGAGATGTAAAAATATGTTGCCGTTACTAATGTAATAGCATACATCTTGTAATACTATACATCACAAAAACTGGGTGCCATATTTGGAAAAACATCATTTCTAAGCATTTTTTATAGATTTTATGCAATGTATTTCTAAGATTTTCTTTTTAACAGTAGTCACCCATATAATGGACATGTCCATGTTCACAAACAGGTTGACAAATAAAAATACATGGCAATTTAATTAAATATGCAAGAAAAATAAAATGAAAAGCTCAAGTTGGACTATATCATTTACTGGATAAATATATATATATGGCGTAAGTAACATTAGGGTACATATATAGGGGATTAAACATAAAATCATATCAGATATAGTAGGATGTCCTTAAATGTAGGTAAAGTCAAGTTACACAATTTAAATAATTTACTGACGTCAACGTGTTGCCAAAACTACGGCAACAGGTCAATGTAACATATGTAAAATTACATCATGATTACAATAGTACCAACCTGTTCTGTGTTCTTGAATTCTTCATCACTGAGCAGGGGTCTGACAGACTTCAGGTACTTGTTGAGGGTTTGATCGAGGGGAGGGACAGGAAGGCGGGGCAAAGACGCCTGGAGGGAGAACATCTTGCCTGGAGGTGGGTGTGTCATGGCTGTGGACGTACACTGGACAGCTCTCACTATTCCTCGGGACTGCAGAAAGACAAAACATTACCTTTTAGGGTGGGCACTCTAAAATAGAAAGCAATGTTTCATGTTTCCAACAATCCTCGATACTCCAGGGATTGCAACACTCACTTCTGCCCTCTAAACCCCTGGAATATGTCAGGACAAAATTAAAGGCTCAGTGTGTGCCACCTAATGCATGAGCCAAGAAGACTGCAGCTTTGATCCACAGGGACATGGATCGCTTTACTTGTAATATCAAAAAATAGATCCTTTAATCTGATGTGCATCTAAAGAATCCCGCAGTTGAGTAACAGTAAAATTGACTGGCTTTGAAGTCGAGAGTCGCAACTCTATAGTCTTCAAAGGACAGATATCAGCAGAGTGATTGGGCAGGGTTTACCTGAGACCAATCAATTTGCTAGCCCTGTGCCTTCAAGTTTGCTTTGACATATATTCCAGCGGTGCAGATCGTGAGCGTAAGTGAGTGTAACCCCTAGAGTATCGAGGATAGTCAGGGTGTCAACAACCAAGACATATAATTCTGATTTCTGTAAGTATACCTACATATATATACATATACTTGCAAGGTGTTTTTTGAAACTTCCTCAATTGATAAATATTTTGAAATGAAGTTTCATCCACTATGTACATTACTATACACATCCACCGCCATTAAATAACTTACATGTATGTTGAGATAACTAAACAAGAATTCCATGGGAGTGGATGTGTCACCTGCTCAGCGCTTTTAGTAAGAAAAGTACGTGTTTTGGCTTGAGTTATTACCGTACAAAATTTGAAAAGAATTGATTCAAAAATAAAAACGTTCTTGCATTTAATACACAATACCCTTATTTGGAAATAAAGGGGGCATAACTCCATCAAAAATGCACGTTCACTTCTGAAATGCGTATTTGTCTGAGCTATTTTAGTATATGCAATTTGTGTACCAAGTTTGAGTTCAATCAACCCAAGGGAACTTAAGTTATCGCACGGAAATCTTGTTAAGTAATACCTACTGTATATGTATGTCGCCTCGCATTGCAGGTGACACAAAAAGAGCAGCAATAGTCTATAAATATCTTAAATACTGACTTTACACCACAATTCCTAGTACCACTGTCTCCAGCTGACACAAATTATAATACAGACGACCTGTGTTTGTAACTCAAGATTCAGGCTTACAGGTGCAACTAAATATAGATATATACACCTTATAGTTATTACACATTTCATGAAATACATTTATAACTCTGCAGATCTATTCATCAATCTACAATGTTGTTAACCCTTTCACCACTGTAGACCATAATGGACTCATCCAGATCAATGCATGGTAGAGTCTACTAAAGTTACATAGGGGTGAAAGGGTTAATAATAATACATGGATTGTAAAGATATTCAAAATTACCTTAAAATCAAAAATGAAACACAAGTCAATATTGTCATACTAAGAATTTAGATAAAGCACACATATGTACCTAGTTTTGATCTTCAGCAGTGTAGCACTAACAGTATTACCCTAGCAGCTCTACTCGCCATGTAAGCATGTGGGTTTATTGCTGATCATGTTTGTTAGAGCTGTCAGATCATCACTGTGGACTTTAACCTTCTCAATGGTCATGAGCAGCATATACCTATCGTTATATAGGTGAATCTTGTGAACTATATCATGACATGAAGTGTCCCACATTTTCACCTGTGAAGTCGTGCTATCAATCTGTCTGGTGTATCGACTATGTACAAATTATGTATATTCATCTATCATGAAAAGGATACATGTACGGTAAAGAATGAGTATTTACTGTAATTAAGTGCCTTTATATGTACTGGTTCATCATATAAATAGAGGATAGAACTTTGCATGTAACAGTTGCAAGCACTACCTACCACATGCTTTATCTAATATGTTACAGAGTAACTGTTTTTGTGGAGGCAAATCAAACAGTGCGAGTACTATATTGACTTTATGAGCTTTGTATATATATATGAGAAGATTTTAAAATAATCAGAAACACACGTACATTATAAGATCTGAACAGCATGGGCACTTTACAGATGTACATGTTTCTGGATTATTTTTATAACCATTCATATAACTAAAAATAAGGCCATGCAATGATCATGAGAACGTAATACATTTTAGTATGTAAATATGTCCATGCATAAATCACAGATATCTGATCATGATATATATATGTGAATGTGATGTATTGCTTTTATTCTATGGTATACTAAACCCTTTCACCCCTATGTAACTTTAATAAACTCTACCATGCATTGATATGGATAAGTCCATTATGGTCTATACATGTACAGTGGTGTAAGGGTTAATATAACTGTCATTATATAAATATCATATTTCCTAAATTGTGGCTAAAAAACAATTGTTGGTTTTGGTTGTTTGTGTTTTATGTCCTATTAACAGCTATGGTCATTTAAGGACGTGCCAGGTTTTGGTGGTGCAGGAAAGTAGGATGTCCCAGAGAAAAAACACCGAACTACAGCCAGTACCTGGCGACTGCCCCACGTAGGTCTTGAACCCGCTACCCAGTGTTTGAGGGCTCAAGTGGTAGCAGAATGTCAGACGCCGTACAACAACTTGGCCACTGCGCCCCCCCCCCCCACTTTTTTTTTTATAGAAGGGTGTCACTTGATAATGTTACATGTTCTTTGCATTTTCTTCTACTGCTTAAAAACATTGATTTAATGATGTCACTTAATCTAATAACATGTTAGTATGTATTGTGTTTCAGTGTGTCAGACAACAAGATGTTGAACATTATAATTTAACTCGATTGAGCTGCTCGATTCCCTTCCTTGGTAGAATTCAGAGATATGTAAATTAGAACTAGATCAAGGTCACTAAATGTATAGCCATATAGGATAGCAGAAGCTTAAAAAAGTATCCCATGTGACGTACAGACAGTGTGTTTGTCTCGTGTGAAGAGGTGGAAGAAGTACAGTAAAATGTTGATATAATGCCTTTCATTTCATTTGTCATCTCATTTTACTGCCAACATGTATTTCCATGTCCCTTTTTTTTTTTTTTGAGAATTTCCTTATACAGTACCTTCAATTTATCGCCAGACCCCTTCATAATGCCAAATTTTCTCTGCACAAATGGTGGCAGTATAACAAGGTTTACCTGTAAAACTTATGTTTCATTCAGATGGAAGGATTGATCCATCATTATATTATCATATAATCCTCTTTTATTTTCAATATGGGAGGATATTAAAACAAGAAGTTGATTACCTAGATAACACTTGATAAGGACCATGACTATACAATTTATAATGACCACCTTTTACAATCATGCATCCATAAACGTCGATATACTGTACTGTGTATACACAAATATGTGTTAAAGTATGCACATCATACAGAAAGTTTAAAGTTTTCAATTGGTTGTGGCAGTCTTAGAGTTTAAAATTTATATAGGGATTGAACAGTGTTTTTTAAATTTACATGCCGGTATGAACGCAAATCGGTTTCATCCATATTGCATGAAGCCTGCTATATGGATCTAACCGATTTGCATTCATACTGGCATAAAAATTAAAAAACGCTGTTCAATCCATATACAAATGTATTTACATTTTTATTATAGAACAATTGTTTCATTTTATTTATTTGTTCTTAAATAACTAATTTATTTACTGCGTTTTGTATATATGTGTCGTCCTTTAAACGACATTGGTGGAACAGCCCTATTGAAATAAAATTGGCGCCAATAACTAACTAGTCATTTGAGCGTTTGACATAGGGGCATTCTCCATGTTATCCGAAGCGAAGCGACAAGATTCTCATTGAACAAGATTAATCTATGTCGTCATAAGTAAACCGCGTGTTACGTCACAAGAGTTTATGCTTTCATACTCGAATGAAATTCATTTTTTGCTGGTAATGTTTATGAAGTGGGCTGCAGTGCAAATGTAAATATATAAATTTGTCATAGACCTACGGAAATTATGGTAGACCAGACCTTTACCAAGAAAATTTAACTTGCATATTTAGTGGTGTATATCATCAAAGTAAGAAAATATGTGTTATAATAATGGACAAAAACATTATTTTGTTTGACACTATTATATTTATCATTGAATAACACACATCCTAGAGATTAACTTCAACTTGGTCTATGAATTAAATTTTCCCCATAGACCTATGGTGATTTTCATGGTGTCTATGCATGCATGGGTCTATGTTAGTTCGAACACTGTTATGATTTCCGATCGGCTATGCATGGAAAACTGAACTAAAAAATATTTTTGAAACATACTTACACTGTTTGTATGTGCATACATGTTCATCAAATACCCTTGATTTCCCACTGATGGAAATGGAGCTTTTAACATATCATAAATTATATATCAAAGAAGTGGAACTAAACACGAAGCCTACTGTGCATGCAGTAAGGTTACAAATGAATGCAGTGTCTGAATAAAGACATCTGAATACAAAATTTTAAGATAGATGCATGGAAGATTAAGCAAAGTATAAAAAATACATTATTACACTTTAAAGTAGGGTTGTCAACGGATAAGTGGTTACTCAGTTGGAAGACTGTAAACCCAGTCATCAAAATCAATAACTGAATAGTCTGACATTTATAGGGATCGAGCTCCATGTTTAACTAGCTTAATTGTAAAATTCTCTATTGATGAGTCCAGTTTGACAACCCTACTTTAAAGATTATTCCAAATAAATTACAGGGTCCTGAAAAGATGCACCCTAGTAGATTATATATAAAGGAATACTGGTAAGCTAATACTAACTGTTAAGACCGTTTACGGAACTCTATCTCCCACTACACTGGTTTTTCATATTATACTGTAACCCCTCCCCCCTTTAATTTCAATTTGGATATATTTGAATATAACAATAACTTAAGCAAAGTTGGGCCAGAACACTTCAGCTGTTGACCTTGCAGGAAGTCAAGTCAGTTAGAGCAATATATATGTCCAATGCAACAATCTCAACAATCCCAGAGTTCAAATCATAGATCACGTGTATATTAAAGCTCTGCCAAATTTTTACAATAGAACACGTTGATAACATTTTGTTTATTTAATATTTTTTTATTGTTTTTTTATAAATACATTTCACATCAAATCTAGGTAATTAGTCCTGTTGAAATGCATATTAAACTTTATGGGAGTGGTAGGGGAATCATTTAAAGGAAACAGATCTATACACATATACTGTAAGTGCATGTTTCAGCTTCACTTAATGTTTCGGAATCATTTTTGGCAATCAAGCAAAAAATGGTTTCACAGATGTCATCTTTGGATCAATTTTGGAATGTAAAGTGGTGGAAAATCCACCAGAAACTTGAAGCAGTATACATAATGCTTGCAGTTTGTGCATTTTATGATCACTTACAATCCTACCTTCTAGCTCTCTTGTCACAAAATTGGCCAGCTTGCCAACCCTTGTTTCAAGCATTTGGGGTACGCTTGGCAAGGGGATACCTGAACCTGGGTTGTAATTATAGTTGTGTCTTCGGGGGGCATAGACTTAGAAAAAGGAGGGAGGAATGTAGCAGAGTCGATCATCGACCACCAGATAGTTCAATTTAAATAGTAGAGATCTAGAGGGTTCCAGGTTCGAACCCAGTTCTGGCTGTTGCATATCTCTCTTTCTCCTGTTACATATTGATGACTCGCTGCTGATGAGTCGCAGGTTAATCAAACATCCAATATTAACTAGTCAGTGAATTGCTTAAACTTTAAGAAATCGGTACGTGTTCACCACTTGTTTTAAAAAGACTGGAAAGTCGCATGGGTACATCTAAGTGACATAATGCAGATTACCAAGTGTCATTGTTTATCTTCACAGTTATGATCGATTAGTAGTACTTATATTAATACCCGGCCTCCTAGGCCTCTGACGACGCAATATATAAAAAGAATCTCTCGTCTGACATCGGAAAGCTACGTTAGCGCAGCTAATCGATCAGGTTCTAGATTCTCTGTCAATGAAAGCTATTCTTGCAACGCATTCGTGAAAAGCACTGATAAACATACTCACCGTAGCTCGACCCAGTATGCGCAACATGACACTGTTTGTATATGAGGACAGCGACAGGTACAAAGTTCACAAGTAAAGATACTGACTGAATTAACAATTATTTCTTAGTTTACTAGTTTGTACGCCTGCGCAGAACATAATGCTACTTCCGGCGCTACTTTCGGTTTGTATTTAATGCGTGCTAATTATAAAAGAAAGGAAAATAAAAATCAGGTTGAGGCAATACAACCCATAGAAAACGACTAAAAGCATTTGTATCCTGCGTGACTGTCAATACCGCATAACTATAGATTATTTAGTTTCGACATATTTTGTAACAGTTACTTCCCTTTAATCATCAGTTTTAGATCCCTGTGTTATCGGTTTCCGCGCACTCATGCCTGATCATATCGGTAGAAAAATGTTGAAATTACGGATGACAGTAATAGACATGTACACAATCTACTAATAGAAAAAAAAACTAGCAACAGAAAATTCTATTTAAAAAAAAAATCAGATGCAACAATTTTAAACTTTCTCCCGTCGGAGTTTCCGTAACGTGTGTCTATTTTGATTTAGTACTAGTGTTCAAAGAAATATAGCTATATACACTAAAAGTAAATTCTCCATAGTGGCCCGCACGAACAAAACTTCGTTTGGTATACAAAAAATATCCTTGTGTAGTGTCCAGCAGGTCACATAGTAACGAGATATAGCTTGATAAAATGGCTGCGCAGAAATATATAACGCACGGAAACCTATGACTAGACGATAGCTAGCCTAGCTACATGTACCATGCCTGAGAGGCCACCATTTACACTTGAATTGTCCAAAACAATTTGATTTCTTTGACGTCCGATAACTAAGTTTAAAAGTTGGGGTAGCTAAGGTAGTAAAAGCCACTGGCTAACTCCTTACAAAATCTTTTAAGGGCTGGTGGTCCACAATTAAGCCTATCAACAACATTAGACTTCTAAGATACACGTAATTCAATGACAGTTTGGATGGTTTTAACTCCAGAATCCCAGCTCCCTACTCTCCACTCTTTCCTGGATCAGCACTCTAAAAAAAGTAAAAATAATTCCCTTTTTTACATGAACAAGTACATGTGCATTTTGGGTAACTCTAAATCGGACTAACTAGCTATATATATATAGAGAGAGACATGCATGACGTCGTTATGTATGGAGTACCAGGCATGTTGACAAAACGACAAATGTCTTTCTGCCGTTTCCAACTTCACGAAACGTTGCAAGACAAGGTCTTTCAACTATATATATATTGTCCGGCTTTGTTTTTGTGACGAGCTTCAACTTGGATAACCTGTCCCACGTCGGCCTCTTCAAATACGTCTAGATCGTTAATCTAGGACAACGACAGATTTCAACCTGCTTTAAGCTTGCTATCTGACACCATTGACCACGTTGCAAGCCCTTTGCGATTTATAATTGATTCAGCAAATTACCTTGTAACGCTTACATCTCTTACGGCGTTCGAAATGCATACTTTCATGTCAATTGTAAATCTCTTTTGTAACCGAACTGAATGTTACGAAATGACAAATTATCAAAAGATCATCGCATACCTTGGTCATGTGGAGCTTAATTGCATTTTTACTGGCTGGTGAGAGGCATACCGACAGTTAATTAAGATGGTTGTGACAATGTAAAACCATCGTAGAATGATTAGTCTTATTTTAACAGTATACAAATGTGAAATCGAGGGTCATGTGACAGGAATTGAAAAGTTCTAGCATCACTTCATAATATTAAGTTCAGTTATAAAATGACTTACAAACATTGCAAATAAAAAAAGTACTATTTTGTTTATAACATGTCAAGATCTTGCTTTAGGTTAAGACTAATTTAGGTTTAAGAGGTGGTTTGTAATCATTGCTTGGAAAAATCCCTCTGCCTTAAGCGTATGATAACCTGTGAAATCCGAAGAAATACGATTATTTTGGTCGAGTCTTTGGACCACGCTAGCGGATATATATTCTTGTGTATCTTTCCTGGTCCGCTGCCCTTGGTCCTTAAATGACCTTAGCCGTTGATAGTACGTTATATAAAATCAAAACCAAAACACCGCCCTTAAATAATTCTCTGGAATAAAATATAGGTATACACATGCAGAACTATGTATGTCGATTAGAACTCGTCTATTTGGATCACTTTATTTGTAAGTCACAAATGATGGGACCATCTGAAATACAGTAAAGTACAAGTTGTATTGCATACGTCTATATTAATAGAATCTATCGCTACTGGTTGTGTAAGATAGAGAAATCTCAACCCGAGGACTAAGATTTTTTGTCCAGAACGAGGCTTGCCGTATTTTAATGTGAAATAAAGGTAAACATGGACCCAAAACACATACAGGCAATTTGTTGATGGATTGTTGACGTGACCTCATTGTATTGTTGAAGTGACGTCATGCCATTGTTATGAATAGGGGAATCCCCCCGTCTCAACCCTAGGGCGGAGACAGATAAATCTAGCACCGGCAAAACGGGAGATAAATCTGTCAGGTGTGGGAGAATATTCTCTATCTCCCCAAGTCTTTGGTGTGTCTCTAATGAAGTAACTATATACACTGAAGGACAGATTATAATATACATAATTAAAGTTGTTTAAACTGTTCTGTCAAGCACTGGATAATAAGTCCATAAACCTGTTTATATTGAGGATTTTTCTGGCACGTATATGGTAGACATATCATAGTATCTGGAGTCTAGGCAAGCAAGTCTTTTTCGGGTGGATATGGATCCCCGAGTAGCAGTGGCTGATGGGCAATGTTGCGGTACCCGAGGTGTAGGTGGCTGACTTTGTCCTGTAGCTGGAGAAGTAGATGGACACGGAATTGGAGATACCGAAAGCCTTTGCAGCGGTGTACCGCATGTGGCTGGCTTAGAACGGGTAAGTGTGTTCGTGGTCTCGTCCAACGGTGGTGGTTCCAGGGTGGTGGCAAGTAGAGTATTAGCCATGGTGTTTTGTAAATTAGCCTAATCTGGTAACATAGGACTCTCCGGTGGTACATGAATGGCTGGCGGTGGAGCAGGGCTGGGTGATACAACCTGTTCAATGTGAATGGAGTTTTTTGGACTCTCAGGTGTGTGGTTTGGCCTAGAGGTAGCATTCTTCATGTCATCCTCGATACTGATTCGCGTTCTCTGGGGATGAACTGGAACGTTTTTGCGGAGGAAGTTGCTGTGACGTAGTGCTACTCCACCAGAACCATCAATTCTTCCCACATACTGGTCATGTAGGCGGACCTCAATTATCTTGCTAGTTTTATCCCATTTCCGAGGGTTGGGTCATGTCCGGTTTTGAATGCAGACATGATTGCCAATGACGAGCGGTGGTAGTTGCTTGGTGTGTTCAGACCAACGCTCAGCGGCCTTCATGTGTCTGTTTCTAAGTGCATCTTCTCTGGCGGTCAATGTCTCCTGCCAGGTGTTATGTGGTCTGTATCGACCAGGAAGAACTTGAATGAAATGCTTGATAGACCTGCCAAAGATACACATGGCTGGAGATAGTGTAGTGTCTTCATAGCCCTGATAACTTCTGCCTCAGATTTATTCGGTAATGTTCCACCAGCAGTACAAGTACGATTCTTTCGTAGGTGCTCCTCGCAACACTTTAATATTTGATTCACTATGTCTTTGCCGGAAACCTTGGTGGCTTCAACATAGTCAGTCCATCTGGATAGGAAATATGACCAGCCCTCACTGGTGCCGGCGGATGATATGGTTGGTGGTTAACTTTTTTAACCTTCGCGATAGCAGCAGGTGAAGCATTGGCATTGTGGATTGTTGCATGAGTGGTGATTAGAGCTGCATCCACAATGGCATCCACATCAGGGGTGGCGTATGTACAGCCGTCAATAGGGCAGTTGAGCACTGGCATCTTTGAGCAGGGCCAAGGGTAGATTCAGCGAGTAGTGGTGACTGGGTATTGTATCACTACAAGGTTGTCCCATCATAGATAAGAACTCGTCTATTTTGATTTGTTAGTCACAAATGATGGGACAATCTGAAATACAGTAAAGCACACGTTGTATTACATATGTCTATATTATTCTCTAGTATGAAGGATGTTTTGGTGCCCATATCCTTCATAGGAGGTTTGTGAAGGAAATCCTGAAATAAAGAATGTTAGGATTACATTGTGTAACGAATACAAAACGTTCTGCTGATTTGATTTCCAGTAAAGCACCAAAATCAAACAGAATGCAGCATGATGTCGGCTAAGCAAAGTTCTAACTTGTTCTTTGTACTTGATGCAATCAGCTTGGAAAACAGATGTGTATAACATTAGTCAACGGTAATACTTCAACTGGAATGTTTCAAAAAATTTCGTTGATTGATTAAAATATATATAAATGTATGGCTCAAAGGAAACTCATAGAACAATAGCATGTTTACGTGTGATCATGTGGATGTGCAACATTTTAATAGAATAATCGGTTCCTACCCCTTGGGTAACGGGAAATCATTTAAAAGCATGGTTTTGTTTTATCCATTTAAAAGTTTGCCACAAAAATTCGTAACGAAATTATTTGTGATCAATTCATAATATCTGTTTACACATAATTAGTCCGAATTATTCTGACGTTTTATCGACTTTTTTCATATCGGTCTGTCGTCGATTAACGACGTTAATCGACGACAGACCGATATGAAAAAAAGTCGATAAAACGTCAGAATAATTCGGACTAACACATAATCAGTTGTTAAGAGTCTTCCATCTAACAATTTGAAATGCAGAATTGTAGGTAGCTGTGACGCACCACCTCTTTCTGCGATACAGACTGCATGCTCATGCCAAGTGTTCTGTACGAAAAGACCTGCTCGATCTGTACGGGAACAACACCTATGATATGTGACAGCAGGTGAAGGCCACTGTTGACCTATATAGTTACTGATAAGACAGCCGACAGAGACCTTTTTACAGCCTGCGTGTATTATATAAGCACGTCTTAGACAAAGCGACAATTATAACATAATTCCGTCAAGATGCGAACTGTTGCCGTTATAGGGGCTGGGGCCAGTGGGATAACAGCCATCAAATGCTCACTGGACGAGGGACTTGAGCCAACTTGTTTCGAGAGGACGGATGACATCGGTAAGCTATAAATTCTAACAATGTTAGAAGTTTTACATCATATCCGATTAAAAATGGCCGACCAGTGCACGTAGCCTCTTATGTTAAAGGAGTACGGTAAGATACAGAAATGTTAAAAGTCCAATTTTAGCATTGAATGGAATTTGGGGAAGCGTCGTTATTACTTGTATCGTTTTGTTTTTTTAATACATAGCATTTAAATTGCAAAATTCATTTTATTCTTTGTCAAAATACAAATTTCTCTGGATTTTTAGAGAAAACGCGAGAGAATTAAGTTAGGTTTGTCGGTACATCTGTCTCTGTCTTTCCGTTACTCACGCTTTAGTTTTTGATCATTAACTCCCCTAAAATTGACCGAATTCCACCAAATTTTCTGTACATGAGCAAACATAACTACAACTCGCAGGCTTAGTTCGATTACCAGTGTGATGCGTGCATACACTAACTGTCTGAAAGGCTACCATTAAATAAACTAAAATTTGTTACGTTCATCCCTTATTGCAGTGCCAAGCCACATACTAACACATAACTATTAAGTCTATTTATCATGCTTGGTTAAATAGTTTCTATGGATGATTTCACGACAAATGGTTTAATTTCAACCAGGTTAAGTATGCAGATACATACATGCATTATTCTAATAATCATAATGGATGATATAGGACTAGTACGTGTCTTATCACGGATGCTGCTGTACGCTCATAAAAAGATCTTTGTTTTCAGAAGTGACAAGGTGATATCACGTCATTATTTCCAAATACGACCGCGGTACATGGGGTTGGGACCTTGTGTTATATATATACTATATGATGCATTTCATTTTACATCTAAACGTGCCACATATCCTATCAAAGCATGGAAACAAAAACAATATCACTAAAAGCAGCAGTTCGAAAAAAAATCACGCCAGATTGTCCTTTAGCTGAACAAAATCCGAGGTCCTGACCCCAGGTACGTGTAAATCTAACTAATCATGGTGATATCACCTACATTATAATCTGAACATGTTTGGTGAGAACCTCCATAAGAATGCCTAGAAGGGCCAATTTGAACAAAAATGAACCAAACAACAAAACGAATCGTTATGCGAGTTAAGAACGTTACAACGCAACCTATTTCATTATAACGTCTTTCATTAGTCGATATAACGAGTTTCAAAAGTCAAATTTTGCAATGAAAAACTGCTTAAATAAGAATATTCGGACTATTACCTACCAGACTTCCACATACTTTGACCTTAAACAAAAACATACGAATAACCACTAGATATAAATTTTAATTGCCTAGTTAGATACTAGCTGGAGGAAAAATGAATCGGCGGCCACTTATTTGAATATTGATATGGTTTTTGATCACTTATCACTTATCAAGCCAATCCACAAATATTTTTTTTTTTTTTTTTTTTTTTTTTTTTAAAAAAAAATCCNCCGTAGAATATATGATATGTATAAAGCATGCCTCCCGTCTCATGCCTCAAGGAACATGTTGCTGATTGAGATTAGGAAGCTCTAAGCGTAGTAGCTACGTTTCGTTTTCACTTTTTTTAATACTTAAGGTTATAGAAGGGAAATTCATAACTAATTCATTTTCTATCTGGAAATTATTTCTTGAGCATGTCAGGTACAACGCAGGACACGTCACTGGAAATGACGTTAATCCAGATGACGATGCGCATCAACGACAGCATGTCAGCAACACATGGGTGATCAAATAATGCCCTGTGTGAACATGGTCATTTGTATCGATAGTGAGGTCCATACCAGACCAAAGTTAACATATCTATGGGCGGGACTACTTCTATTTGCCCAGTCATGTTGTTTCAGGAACAAGGATTCATTTTCAGTAAAGCTTTGAATCTAAATATTTATCATCGACACTGTTATAGTTATGAAATTCCTGTGTAGTTAAGCAAGTTTAATATTCCATGATCATGTGTATCACCTGTTCCATAGCTTGACACTAACGGCATGAAAGATAATTTGTTATGTTGGAATGCTTAGTTACGGAGTTAAAGATAACTGTTTTTTTATGACGGTCACAGGATGTCATGTTCATGAGTATTATATAAATTTAGATAGGCGATGTTGACGTCTTTAAAAATAGATACAATGATATTGATCATCGTCCCAAGGTGTACCTTTCTACCAGAAGAGGTAGCTTGGTATTATCCCGTATGGGTGGGTCTGGACTGCCTTTGGATATGATTATCGTACAGAGATGGCTGGACGTCGTCATTAACGTGTTTCCCGCAAAGTTTATCGCCTGGTTGTTGAAGAACTCATTGAATAAAAGGTTTAACCACAAATCCTACGCCCTTGAGCCTAAACGTAGCCCAATGTCCCAGCATCCAACAGCAAATGACGATCTTCCAAACCGGATATCCAAACAGCTGATTATTTCAGAAGTACCAACTTTTTTCTTATCATAATAAACTGCTATAGAATTTGTCAATTTGGTGGTCGAATGTTTCTTTATTAAGCTGTTTCTAGTATCAGAAATGCGTTATCCTCTTCTCTGATCTTCAAAATTGTTTATAGCCATTTCATTTGCTTTTGGTTGAAGAAGAATGGTTCAAGAAACGACGAATACATTTTGGTTTGAAACTATTTTGTTCATGAAATTAGATAATATTCTTAGTTCCTGGTCTTTATGTCAATTTTTATGCAATTGGGGATGTTTGTGGGTCATTCTATTCAGTCCTATTTTTCCACTGTTATATAGATTGCACTCAATGCTAGTTTAGTATTGTACAGTTATTAAAACAACAAATGAAATAAAATCAGCCTCCAAGTTGATTTCACTCACACTTTGCCGAACATATGTCTTTTGTATGAAAAATGTACATTTGGACCATGTGTACATATCAATTTATCAAGGTCGCTATAAAGACCCTAGTGTATCTGACTTCATGCTTTCTTTATCTTTTCATGATCTTGTTCATTGAGGGATATATTTGTCAATGTTGCTGAACAAAACGAAAAAAGCAGTGTTATTAGAACGCTTGAAGGTTTAGATGAAAAAAAATCCACAGAAAGTAACTTTATTGTAAGCGTTTTCCAGATTGTGTTTTTGTTCTCTTTCATAAAACACTTCGCATGTGAAACTGTAGGCCTGAGTATGTGTTAAGTCAAGGAAAACGACTTTATGTCAATCTACTTGTTGGCATTTACAATGTTCACGTGTGATGTGTTGGGAAGTACGCCAAAGTGGCTTCAGTCTATCTGTTGCTAAAACTGCCACCAATAAGAAATGGAGTTTGTTATTTGAACTATGAATTGGAATAGACTAGGCTGTTAGAATAATAAAGCCCGACTTTCTGTGACCTAAGAAAACCGGGCTACGTTAGGTCACAAGGCTAGCTCAGATCACTCGACTATCCCTATCTGACTGAAGTCAACGGATTATCTAATAACACATACCTCCTTAAGTGTCCTTATGCAAGTAAAACACTAGAAATGTCCCTGTCGTGTCTTTTGTACTAACCTCCACTTTTTTCGTTTTGTATATAACTGTAGCGCAATTTGGCCAGCACATTTCAATCGAATATTTCGCTGAGTAGGTTTTACTGACAGAATAATGGTTCGAAACCTGGTCTAGCCCGCTGATATTTGTTTCACTCAGATCACTGTTGGTGGTATTCTTTGTGTTTGTCATCTTTATATATTTTTAAAATTTGCAAGGTATGATTTTCGTTTCAAAAACGATTTATCAAAGCTTCAGTTATGCCGAAAAACAGATTTTCGAGTTTTCCACGCCGGGTCTCCAACACTTTAGCGATTGCTCAAAACGGCCATGCGGAAACCATTGACATTGTTATGAATGCTTCTAAAATCCTCTTAAAAGAACCACTTTAATTCTCTTGGAATATCACTTTTAGAGAACTTCTTAAAACAACTTTCAAAACAAGAAAATCTCCTTTACCCAGGAGACCCAATTAAAATTGGATATCTAAATAGTATATGTGACTTCATAACAAACTGTGCCCGTTTTTACGTGGGGAGATTTGGAAATAATTCTCTGAACTCCTATATATTTTGTTATTCCATGCAAAATTCGTAAATATTATGTCCTTTGTAAATTTTAAAAAGAGAGTGATGAGATAAATACATACGATATTTCGCCGTCCCTCGCTGAGGAACTTCTTTTGTTGATAAGTTTTACGTACCGAAAACTAACGGCAGATTTGGCTTTATCGTTAAAAATGTATTTGAAACATGATTAAAGCAGGAACTTTATTTCAGATGTAAACATAAAACCAACACCAGTAGCAAAATGACCTGAAAGTTAAAAATATTAACCTTCCAATCGCATATCGATTTATACATATTTTATTGCCATAACACAACTGGATTGGGTATAAAAAATTACAATCAACAATACAACAAAAATTACTAGGTGGCACACTAAAAAATGCTTTACAAATAAGGTAGCTTAATAACAAGTTGTCGTGCATGCGTTCACTCATTCTCTCTCACACACACACACACACATAACTTACATCCAACGGAAACTTTTAAAGCAACTCCGTGACGTTTTATATTCCCAAAAATATGCTGTGTTTCAAAAACAAGTTTTTGGCTGTATGACGGAGCTGAATACGTTCACTTGTAATTGCGGTGTAGGAGGACTATGGAACTACACGGAATCTGCGAGATATGGTCAGGCATGTGTGATGAAGTCGACGGTGATTAACACCAGCAAGGAGATGATGTGTTACAGCGATTTCCCAATCCCCAAGGACTATCCTATGTTTCTCCATAACACCCATGTTAAACGATACTTCGACACGTACGTGGACAACTTCAACCTGAAGAAATATATACGGTTCCAAACAGAGGTATGTTCTTGATAATAAACTGAGAAAAGACGGAAGTCAATGTTATGTTTTCTCAGTGAATGATTTCACGAAGACGTTATATTTTACTAACAATTCATCTTTGTTATTCCCACCCCCACAGTACATGTATGAGCCCACCCTGCTTTTCCTTTCCATTAAGATTGTATTAAGACTATTGGCGTCCTTCCTTTTCATCTAGCCCCTACTACTATCCATTACGGTTGTATTGGTATGAACATCTGCTCTGACTATCGACAAACTCTATTTACATGTTTAGGTGTTGATGGTCAAACCTACGTCTGACTTTTACAAGACCGGACAGTGGACTATAAAGGTGAAGGACGCGAAGACTGGTAAGGAAGAAGAGTCAGTATTCGACGCCGTTCTCGTTTGCACTGGTCACCATGCCTACGAGAACAAACCTGACTTTCCGGGTCTTAAAGAGTTCCAGGGCAACGTTATTCATTCGCACATTTACAAGAGCACCCAAGGATACGAGGGCAAGTCTGTTGTCGTTGTTGGCATTGGTAACTCTGGCGGTGACGCTGCCGCGGAGCTCAGCCGGGTAGCATCCCAGGTGTGTCGATATCATTGATCGTCCTCCTCTGTAGTTCTTAAGCTATAAATGATAGATATTCACATCCAATAATATTACCAAACTACATGTAGTTATCTATCTCCTAGCATGGTGAAAATGTGCTCCTTTGAATTTTATGTAATAAAGAGGTTTCTACAGTAGTTTTGACGAATAATTAGATTTCCAACTTTTAGACCTCAGAAACACCGATGAGCCCGAGAAGAACGAAAATGTTGTACGCTACATTGCAATTTATTTTTGACGTACTGTATCTATTACTAATTTATATATAATCAATCAAGTGTGGTTCTTGCGCTTATTTTACACAATGCTAAAACTTTGTTAACTTTTCTAAAATTTAGATAGGTGATGTTGACGTCTTTAAAAAATGGCATTAATTCGATATTTCTTCAGCTTGCTGACTTTACTATACAATGATTTTGATAATCGTCCCCAGGTGTACCTTTCTACCAGAAGAGGTAGCTGGGTATTCTCCCGTATGGGTGGGTCTGGACTGCCTTTGGATATGATTGTCGTACAGAGATGGCTGGACGTCGTCATTAACGTGTTTCCCGCAAAGTTTATCGCCTGGTTGTTGAAGAGCTCATTGAATAAAAGGTTTAATCACAAATCCTACGCCCTTGAGCCTAAACATAGCCCAATGTCCCAGCATCCAACAGCAAATGACGATCTTCCAAACCGGATATCCTGTGGATCAATCGTTATCAAACCTAACATTAAACGATTCACGCGCACGGGCGTGATATTTGACGACGACACTCAGGTAGACAATCTGGATCACGTGATACTTGCCACAGGCTATGTTTTCGGATTTCCTTTTCTTGATAAATCTGTGCTGGATGTGAAGGATAACCAGATCAAGATGTACAAGTACATGTTCCCTCCAGACCAGGTCAGAAACACACTGGCTGTGATTGGCTGTTTTCAACCTATCGGAGCACTCATGCCAATCTCAGAGATGCAATGCCGGCTCGCAACACGTGTGTTCAAGGTGAGTTGCAATACCAGGCAATTTAAGAAACATTATAGGCTTTTATCAGTCAGATATATTTATATATACTGTATGGAAATTACGGGCGCAGAAATCTGTAGTTAGAACTTTGAGGTTGATTTTAAAGTATCTGATTATGATTTCATTTTGCTTGTAACAAGCATTTTCATTGGCTTAAAAACTTATGTTATCAGCCCATAACGTAAAAAAATGACGTCGCCGTTTGTAACGTCGCTTTTCATTGACTGATACAGCGGCGCAATTATTTCTAAGAGTCCATCAATAAAAGTGTATTTCCACAGGATTGTGTATAGCAGATAAAATTATAAGGATTAACTTGAATATATTTTTCATGTAAATGAGCTATAACACAAAAAAAGAGTGTACTCTCCGTTTTTTTTGTGTTATATCTTCATAACATGAAAAATATATTCAAGTTAATCCTTAAATAATATTCAAACCTATTAATGACAGTTAAAACTTTATATTGATTGCATTCCACAGGGTGATGTGACGTTGCCTCCGAAGGAAGAGATGTGGGAAGAAATCCAACAAAAAAGGGACATGATGGCGTCCCGTTACGTCAAGTCAGCGCGTCACACCATACAAGTTGACTTCATCAACTACATGGACCAGCTAGCCACTGTCAACGGCAACAGGCCCAACTTCCGTAAGTACAGCCCACCTAGGGTGTCTTTATCTGTGATGAATTGTTAAGTATTCAGATTCCAAACGTCATCATCCAGTAACTCCTCTAATTTCCTCTGAAAGTCATAAAAATGAGATGTTCTATGCATTTTCTTCTCGCACCTCAGACAGAGATATCCCACGTCATAAGGCGGGATTCTTGTATTTTTTAGCAAAATTCGAAATAAAAGGTGCGAGAAAAAAAAGCAATTACCTGTAACTGAGCAAGATCGGGTTATCTCAGTCTCAGGCTAAGATTCTGTAACATCCCAACCTCGGCTCAGGCCTCGGTTGGGATTTTGTTACAGAATCTTATCCCTCGACTGAGATAACCCGATCTCGCTCAGTTACAGGTAATATAATTGGGATTTCCACCTTTTTGGCTTTTAGCATCACCGATGAGTCAATGAAGAAACAGCTATATTGAGCAGTTTATATCATTGTTGGATTGCTGTAACTAATACCGTGTTTTGAAGGTGCACCCACCCGTGTGTGTATCGTGTTCTTTACAGAGGCTGTCATCAATTTTACTTTTCCTTGGCTTCGTTGTAAACATTGTAAACCATAATACGGTGATCGATCTGTCAAAAAATACAACACATCTTTCCTGTTAAGCGGAAAAACAGATTTTGTTTTATATTTTCTATTTACTGATAGTTCACTGAAATGACATTTAACATATACAACGATAATTGATATACCCAACTTGCACTATACCGCCAAATACTGTATTTAAGACATTATTTTACAGTCAAGCTGATGTTGACCGACCCTGTTCTAGCATACAAGTGTTACTTCGGCCCATGCTCGCCCTATCAGTACCGCCTGCAGGGCTCTCAGACGTGGTCGGGAGCTCGAAAAGCAATTGTAGCACAGTGGGACAACACTATCAGCGCCCTCCAGACGCGCCCATTGGGGCTGAAGCAAGACGGGTCGGGGGCCATGGTCTACATTCTCATCATCGCAGTCTTCATTATAGCATACCTGTTCAGATTCTTCTTCCTTTAGATGGATGACGTCATATAAGTTTTTAGTCACATCTGCAGAAACTTTCTGCTGCATAAGGATTGCTTGACTTTTATGTTTTTATGGCTGATGATTTTTAAGATTTTAACGGGGTAAGGTGTATTGATTCGCTCTGTTACGTAGTGTCGCTATGCATTTAGTTAGGTTTACATGTTACTTATGATAAGAAAGGCTATTAAATTGTCTATATAATGAATTATGAATAATGGTTTCATAATAATTCACTGTCATTCAATGGTATATACCGTATACCAGGATACTTCCAAAAATGTGTTCAGCGGAATCATAATCACAAACGCAACAATGAGCCACGATTAATACATTTTTCAACCGTCATGAAATAGCACGTACGTGGTTATGACGATTGTGTACATAACAGGTAATGACGTATGAGGTTGTATCACACAACTTATAGTTTTGTTGATGATTCGTTAATCAAAATTCGTTATTTTGTTGTTGCTTAATATGCTGTCATAGAGCCTATTCATTTGTTCATTTGAAACTTTATACGCTGAATGTCCCATCTCTGTGCTAAAACACAGCGAAAATGTTCAGATAGCAAAATTATAATCTGTGTAAATTCAAATGTCTAATTTTTGGTCGAAATCGCGAAAACTGAAGCCCGCGTAAATAACCCGTACCGATTTGAGGACTATTCTAAATGAAGCAACTTCTACATTTTCATTTAGAATGATGTTTTATTATGATCCTCGCTTTTTGCATATGTTTGTTATGTTATTTGCATTTTATTGGTTATAATGATGTTAGTCTTATAAAGATCTTTGCGCTATCTATGGTGTTAGTTTTATACATTTGCAACGAATCCGTAATAATCATTATTCTTAATGTCTATTCCTTAAGAATCATTGTCCCACTGTAATCTCTTATTAGGTATATACAGTGACCTCCCCTTAATATCGTCTTCGTTATAGCTGTAGCACGATTGGGGAAGGCTACTTCCACTGACAAGGTAGCGCAGTGGGTTAAAGCGACAGTATAACAATCGGAAGTCCAGGGTTCGAATCCAGGTCTAGCCCCTCTTATTCTTTTCCTCCTCAGAACACTTTTGTTGATCCTATATATTTTTCACTTTATATTTCATAAAAGTCCCTTTAGGTTTGGTTCTGTGTTGAGAAATAAAATATGAAAGCTAAAGTCATACCGGAAAAATATTTTCTAATGCCTAGTTTCAGCTTTTGGCAGTGGTACGGGATCCTTCAATATTTAATTTCCTTTTTTACTTGGCTGTTATGACAACACTTTATAAAAGTGTACCTATAGTGACCAATTTGTAATTTGTATTGTTGTTTTTGTGTGTGATAGTGTGATTTTGATTCATTAATCCAGCTGCTGCAAATGAGGTCAGGAATTTTATCTGAAAATCACTTTTATATATTTTTTATGATTTCGAATATGAATAAAGTGCTTACTTAATGCAACTTGAAGTGAAGTTTTGCTGAATATCAATTTGAGTTACTTCCCTTGTATCAGCCTACTGGAATTGACCTTGCACATCGACACTCAACTATAGTCAACTCTATAATACGTTGTTAGACATAGCAAGTATGTAGGGCATGTTAACATTGTTAACTTGTTTATATCCTTGTAAATTTTGGATTTGAATCGAAGTATATTGGATTAAAGGTGATTCCTGCTGTGTTTCGGCGATATTCCAGTACTTGTGTGATATCAAGGTTTATGCTTTTCTAGTGTCCAAGAAATTCTATGAGCTTTCAATAGAATTATACCAATTCAAAGTCGAAACACAAATGTCAATATGATGATTACAGTTATGAAAATGATTATAATGATAAAACATAAGAATTTCATGACTCGTGATCAATTTAATGACTAAAAAGCGGACTATCTAACATTTGTCAGGCTATTCATGTGTGGCACATTTTAACAGATTATAGGTTACATACATTTATCTATGTATGATTTAACTACACGTCAAGGCAAGATAAATCTTGGAACTCTTTTGTTCAGGTACATCCGTCCTTCAACAGAGAACGAACAAAAAATATCATTTGTAAACTAACAGTTGGTCAGGATGGGACTTTCAGGCGTAGTGTTGCTGTTGGTGATACCAGTATAAACAAGAAATACGACATTTTGAATTGCTTCTCGTGTTCTGACCTAAAAGTCTGTTATTCGAGCAAATCATCCGCTTACTTATCATTTGATACTGTTGAATCGAATTGTATATCTTACCCATCGATTCTCTAATTTTCGGATATGCACGATGAGCGATTTGAATGAGAGATGTGCGGATATACTAGATAAGGGTGGTTGGGTGGTGCAGTGGATAGCGCACTTGCCTTTCATCAAGGCGGCTGGGTGTGAAAAGGTATGGGGCCACCTGCTCGACCACGTGGGTTTTCTCCGGGTACTCCGGTTTCCTCCCACAACAAGACCCCCCGCGCTAACATCCGGGCCAACAAGAGTGATTAATATAATTTGAAATAACTTGTTTCATAATTGTTGTAAAATAAATAAAGTTTACATTTTATATTTTATATGCTAGATGAGAGATCGCTCCTCTACCTCATCCCCACCTTAACCAAATGCTTCCATGTTAAGTATGCTACTCCCCGAAAGTCATCTTTAGTCTTCTCTGAGACTCGTCACTACGAAATGTGTACAGGTGCACCGGGCGTCGCTGCAGTGGCTCGAGTTGCTGTCTTCAAAAAGCTTCTTCTGAACGTGTTCTTGCAGGAGTTAATAGAAAAACCTTTGCTTTTGCCCGCGATATACCGATTCTAGCCTCTTTCAATGTCACTTCCTCTATGTACTGTGGGAACTTTAGTCCAACGCTCTTTACTTCTTCTATGTACTTTTGCATTTACTCTTTTTAGGTCTGTCCTAGTAACAGTATTTGGAAGTGTCTCCCTATGAACCCGCCTATTTATGTTATTGCAAGGTCGCCCCCATCCCCCAAACATATATTTGATGTTGCTACGCTGTGCCAATTCTCCACGCTTCATTACTCAATACATTGATTTATGGTCGCTTTGTGAACTATTGTAATTTAGTTAACAGGTAAAGATGAATTTGAGTTAATACAGTACGTTGTCGGAAGAGTTATAATGCTATAACCACAGAACATAGAAGGGAGTGGCGGCCAGAAGTGGCCACAATATATAGTAAAACAAATCCTGTGCGATCTTTTTTCACACAGTCATTTGAATAACAAATATATTCGCTTGACTTACTTCACCCAATGTATTTAAGAAATAATAAACGTATGCGTCTTTATAATGGTTGAATATATAATGAGGATGAGAAAGTGATCATTTTTTTTTTACTGAAGGCCACTTCGACCCGAATTGATTATATCACCAACATTTTCAAAGCACAGATTAAATATTTGACCATTTTTGTACAAAAATAAGTTGATCATTTCTCTTCTACGAAGAAAAATGTAATACAATCTCGATTTTGTGTCTATCGCAGTGTGCGTGAACCTTTATTTTACAAGTTGACATAGATAATGCAATTATTTATAGTTGGCTGTTCTGTTACGCGTACACATATTTGTCACGTGATGCACACGCTGGGCGTGTTTTGATATTCCTGGCACTGTTTGCAGTTGTCCTACTTTGCCTGTGTTACCTGGATATATTTCGGGAGGAATATATATACATATACCTTATACATGTAATTTGTTGATTTATAGTCACCATACGATAACGACAAGAACCAAAGAGGATACGTTATGGCCGCTGTATTAGCGTAACCTTTCACATTGTGTAAGTTGAGCGAAGTCTGGCTTATGAAAGTAAACAACTTTGTACATATCGTCTACACCCTATATCACATTATGCATTTAAAAGCCCCAACTAGCTTCGTTCTCTCCCTCATCATTTAGTTTCTCAACTTGACAAATAAACAATAATCACTGACGCCATATCTTATGCAAGATGCTTTTTCTATCCATCCAAAATGTCATGTTATCGAGAAAACTCGTAAACACATGAAATCAACACTTGGCAGCATAAAAACATATTTTTCAGGTCATCTTCATGGTAATTCGACGGAACTTTCTGGTAATAAGCATGATATGATTTAATAGATCTCAAGAGTAAAAGGTTTCGGCTTTAGTTTGTTCGTTATCAAAAATAATACAATGTAATAATAAATGCGTGTATCCTCATTCAACAAAAGACAGAAACATGACGGCTTGCTTGTTAACATTTGCAAAAAGGGGATGTGTTTGTTAGAACATTGCACTTGAATGGTTTGTTGGAAAATGCTTCATACATGCACATACATGTACTAGTAAAATGATATGCGGTCCATATATAATAAAAAAAAGTCATTACATCGCAGATGGGGCAGACTACTGGAAGCACGGTAGTCTAGTGGTAGGACGCAGGCCGAAATGTTGCGGGTTCGAGTCACGGCACGGCACTGTGTTGTATCTTTGAGCAAGATACTTTACTCTGCTCGGTCCAGCCTACTCAGCTGTAAATGAGTACGTGGTTTCGTCAGTGCTAGAATTGTCGAAGGCAAGCTGTGAGCGCCGAAATGGTAACACCTTGTGGCTGTATGCAAGGTTTTGAGGTATGTAGGGAGTTGAGAAAGATATTAGCTTGTTGCAAAGACCCGATAACCACGGATAATAATTTGTGAATCGCTTTGAGACGACCTACGAACCAGGTTTTGATAAAGGGGTATATAAGAACCTCGAACTATTATTATTATTATTACTAATACGACCTATCCTGGGCATTACGTGTGTTGTGTCTACATACTCATTTTCCCAGTCTACGTGCTGGTTCTTATCATACTACATTGTATATCTGTGAGCGACCCTCGTGGTGTGTCTAAATGTACTATATCACAACAGCTTCGCCATTGTGTCTACATATGCCAGTTAAGTGATTTCAGCGCCGTGTCTAAATGTTTTCTAACCCACACGTTTGCCACGGTGTCCCGGTCTGCTCCATTCTATGTCCGTTTTGCTATGTTAACCTAAATGTACCCCACATCAGTCTTGCTGATACTAAATGTGCCCGCTTCTAACAGTCTTGTTGTTGTGACTTCAAGTGTTTCCTTTCTGTCTAAAATTGCGTCCTTCTCAACAGCCTTGCCACTGTGTCCCAGTTATACCCTACTCCCAACATTCGTATTACATGTACTGTATCTAGATGTTTCACCTCCAAAGTCTTGTTCCTGTGTCCAGATATGCCCCCCCCCCCCCCCAACATTCGTATTACTGTATCTAGATGTTTCACCTCCAAAGTCTTATTGCTGTGTTCAGATAGGCCCTCCTCCAATTTTATTTAGATATACATCCTTCTTGGTCTTGTTGCTGAGTCTAAATGAGTACCTCCCTATTCACGTCCATATATATGAGGAACAGATAATCTCTGGTTGTCGGCCGTGTTCCCCTACCCCAGGCATTACGGTGGTTCTGACACTAATGCCAGAGGAACAACGCAACAATGTTGATTGAAATAGACAATGGAGAATTATTTTGCGGGCGCTGAATTAAATATTTATGCTTATCCTCAGCGGCACGAAGGCACGGCACGCACAATGGCGCGTAAAATCATCGTGCCGAACACGCAACAAGTATCGAACAGACCGAGATACCCGAGGGCTGCTGAAAGCGATGTTATATACGATGCAAGTTGGTCATACACACGCAACCAAGGACAGGCAACCGTCAAATTTATAACGTAAAAAATACGGGTTGCGGACAGGCAACAGTCAACTGTACATAGTAAAGCGTGCTGGTATCCGTCAACAGTCAACCCAACTCACGCAATAGTCGTGTGGAGTCAGCGCAATGGGCAGACTACGAGTTTACAAAATATAAATCATTGAACAGGGGGTAAAATGTCATTCATCACTTGTACTGGCTAATTTAATTTGCTGTTATATATTATTTTTGTACACATTGTCCAGAAATCTCTCAAATACATGTTTGTGCTTGTTTATATTTCCAAATTGGCAAAACGCACCACGATAGTTGGGAGTAAAGACAGCATGGACAAAATATCTGTAGATAACGAAACAGAACATATTTAGTAATATGTACAAATGCAGGATCATAGAAAGCGACCATTAATGTGACCTCATCACAATCGTTTCTTTCATGGTACCAACTTAAGTAACACGGATACAAGGATCGCTTCTATGTTCCCCATGACAACATATGAAACGCCTATCTTTCTGCTAGCCCCTCTTTTGCTATTCTTTCCATGGTTTCTATTTTGACACCTTTTCTAATATCATTTGACATCCTCATATGTCTTTTTTTTGTAATGGCAGTAAACCACAAACGAACAGTACTTTTCCCCCTTAGAGGAAATCAGAATGGGTTCCAATGAATTCTAAGTTTCTCAATTGTTCCCCCTTTCCTAGGTATTGGCTTAAAACCAGATTCACATTTTCATAATTACTTCATGACCAGCAGGACTTTAATTAA